AAATTGCAGTATTTCAACTACCTTTGTTTAATTAAAATACACATGACTATGGTCCTATCAGAAACTTTGTGTGGATCCAGGACCTTAATTCATCACAAAAAGCACTATAATCGCTTAACTGTATTAGAGAGAAAAGTTGTTCGGAGAATAGTGAATGTATTAATACGTGGACCAGTCTTAACTGAAATTAAGATGAGTGAGTGCTTCTAATACGAACTTTATACCACCGTGACAAGTTATTGGTTATACTGGGACAAAATTCCATTGGCTCGCAATTTGAATTAACGAGAAAATTTTTTTTATGGATATCAATTGCAGTGCCTATGATGTTAATGATGATAATTATGAATGAGTTTAGAAAACAAAGGTTCTTAGTTTCACAATTTATTCAGTTTAGTATTCCTAACCGCATTTTCCAAATTTAAGAATTAATTTCTAATTTTTCTCACAACTTTATTGTATAAATTGACGTTAAATAAATTTTGGTATCTCTTCACTAGTACATATCCCTCATCCATTTTTTTTTTATTTCTAGGATCAAGTAATTGCTTCTCGATTCAATTCGTTAAAGCAATTTTAAACAAATATATTGTATACATTAATTTTATTACTTATGAGCTCCACAATTTTTAAGTTCTTCCCGCATCTTTGCAATATTATGTTATTAACCCTACATACCATATATCTGGACTACTTACATAAAGTTGATGTTATCGTAAATTTCTTAGTTATGTTATTTTTGGATTATTTCTTATTTTATTTTTATTTAAGTAAATTTATTTAATGGCTTAAAATGTTTTGCTATAACAGATGATATTGTTTTACTAAACAGTGTTTCAGTAGAATTTAACACAAAGGATTATTGTCATTTATTGCTTAACACCTATTCAATCATAATGTGTCATACAGGAATTCCAGGATCGACCTAACTATGACACACGACAGTTGTGACTCATGGCCTAACTCTAATTACTAATGCATGACGCAAGCAATTTTGTGTTCCAGGCACACTAAAATAGTAACGACAAGGAAGAAGGAAGTTTTGCATACAAGGTAAAATCTTCTAATCAAGTTATTTACATAAGGGCAGGGCCAGGTATTAGTAAGTTTGTATTAATCATCAAAAAACCAATAAAACTATTACAATAATTAAAATGTTGAGGGAAATAATTGATTTGTTAAATGATATCCCAAATAATGAATTTGTAAATGTTGTTATGTACTTGAGACAAACAGTTAAACAGCTTTTTAATTTATTAAAAAGAAGTTGGCATTATATCAGAATCATAGCTAATAATGTGTAGTTATTAATATAAATTAAATATATTATAATTTTTATTGACGTAAATTTGCAATTATTACTTTCACATATAAAACGTTTTAAGTGCATTTAAAAAATTTATTAAATTGAGTTATTTTCAAACGTGAATAAAATTAATTAACTAATTAATTAAATAATAGGCTATGAATGCACCCCGACCTAGAAGAACTATTGTGCGCCTAAAGGCCCAACTAAAGCCATTCTAGACCACTTATAAATCTCGTAATTGTTGTAGACTTAATTTCATCTATTTGATTTGGGACTAAGATCCCATTTCGAAAGTTGTCGAGTATACGTCTTGCCGCTGCTGGACAGTTGCATAGAATATGTTCTGATGTTTCTTTCTCCTCATGACAGAGTCGACAGGAATCACTTTCTACCGCACCTAAAATCTTCATGTGGTAAGTCTAATTAAGTCTACAGTGTCCTGAAAGAAGTTCAGTGTAGATTTTAATATCGTTTCTGCTATGGTTGAGAATAGCGTCAACTGAACTTTAAAATAGAAATACCTATACCTTTTTCTGTAGCAAATATAAATAAAAAAAAACTGCATGAAAAGATAATACTCTAAAACGCTCATTTTAAAATGCACGGGGAAGATGATAGTCCCGAACCGTAAAGATTAAAATGGTTTGAATCCCTTTTCAGAAATGAACGCAAGATATGGAATAAAATAGGCGTAATACTTAATACTCAATAGACACATTTCAGATACAAAGCAAGTAAAATAGCTCAAGAAAAATATAGATAAGTACTGAAAGCAAGATATGAAATGAAATAGACTTAATACTTAGTACCCAATAGACTCATTTCAGATACAAAGTAAGTAAAATAACTGCAAGAAAATGTAGTTAAGTAATGTGGAGAAGTTTATTCCGGAAGCACACGGCTTATACATTACTTATATATCACATAGCCGGAATCTAAAAAATGAAGTGTGTGAAGAAGAATAATGAGTGCAGCTGAATATAAATTATCAAAAAGACAAGATAATGAGAGTTACTGTTTAATTTTCGGACTCAAAATTCGAACTATCTATACTACTTCTATGCTATAAATAGATTTAATAATTTTTGACTACGCAACGAATAATTTTAATGTATTTAAGTAAAATTTGTTAAAGAAAATATATATTATTTTAGGAAACCCTGTGGTATATAACTAATTTAAGTATTTTGCGTTTAGAAAACTATATATAACTTATATATGATAACCAATAAATATTGTTTCTCCATAGCTAAATGTGGAGGGTCGTAAAAAACTTAAACACAAAATACTAGGAAAAACAATGGATTTGATAAGAATTAACTATGACACCTCCAGTCTAAACAATAAAAAACAGCACAAACAGAAACAACAAATACGGCAACTACACTTGGTTTTAAAAATACAATTCACTCTACAACAGGCAGTTTGAATTTTCAAAGGGCCTAAAGGTGTACATGTGAAAAACATATAAACATATATAAATATATGAACAATTATGTAACATGCTTGAATTTATATCTTTTACAAATATCTTTTACGTACATACGAGTAACGACATCTAAGTATTACTAAAACAAATTTTATCGGCAGCTATCATTTCCGATTTAACAAAATTTTAAGTTCTCATTTGAATTGTGATGAAATTAAAAACATAGAGACATACTCAAACCATTTTAATCTTTACCAAGAGACTAGCATAATACTTTGAAAACAGAAAAAATATATATATAAAAATATATATATATAAGTATTTGTTTTTTTACTATTTTTACTACAACAATATATAATATAAATAATTCCACTCTGACTGAGAAATTACTGATTCGAACCAGACACTGGTTAAACTATATTAAGTTTACAGGTATTTAACCATTATTTTGTTAATTAGCACACACATAATGTAACTAAAAATTTATTTAGATATATGTATTAAGTCTGTAGATTGAATATATTTATATTTTATTAAAGACCAAATAATGAATTTACTGCAAAATTACATTATTTTTCTTATTAATATATATAACAATCTTTTATGAAATATAAAAGAATCTCTGAATCCCAAAATATTTTACAAAAATTCGGTTAAAGTTTGTTTGTGTACTACATTTTATGTGTTTTTAATATATAATATTACTTTTGGTGCAAATAAAATTAATAAATGATTAATTGAATATTTATAGTTACTAAGCTTACAACTAGAGATTGTAAAGAACCCAATAACTTGTATCTCTTTCCCTATTTTGACCACACATATGTTCTTTAATATTGTGTGTAAAAATGTCTTTCACCACAGGTTGATAATGCGGACGCTATCCTCACATAATCTTGAAGACAATATCATCAAAGATAAGCTAGCCAACAGAATTGTTCTTCACACATGGACAATTAATTTAAGCATAGCATGTAAATGCAAATTTACAATCTGCTAGACAAAATTAATCCTGAAAAATCAATGCAGCTTGTTTGTTCAGCACTATTCATAAATATTTTCAATATCATTTGCATCAAATATTAAAATCTAATAATTAAAAATTATTAAAACTCACTTCATTCAGGTATGAAATTGGATCTCAACTTGGAGTAGATGTATAAGATAAATAACTACTCAATGACAAAATGTCCATTAAAATTTAATAAAATAAAATAGAGATACCAGCTAACAGCACCAAAACAGAAAATTATTAAATGAAATTAGAATAGATTGTTGTGAATAGAAATTACAACAACGACAAAAGTATTTTTACTTAATTAATTGAACTATTTTGAATGACCATACAACTGTTTCGAATATTAAGAAAACAAAAAAAAAAATTTTTATGACGTGTTTGACTTTAATTGAAAATAATTTATCCATAAATTTAGACTCATTAATGTTTATGGGTAAACAACATATATTGGTAAAACTCTAAACCTTAATATTGCAAATTAAGTGTACATTGTTTTTGTGCGTTAACACAAAGCTCCACCATTCAAATTTGAAAGGGTTAAATTTTTAACACTCATAGAAAATTTTTTACGATTAACTTATTCAACAGATTTTTTTTCAAAGATCACTGATGTTAGATATTTGGCGATATCCGAAAAGGCTGTATGGTCAGCTTAAGAATTCACATGTTTAAAAAATTGTTTTTTTTTTGTATATTTCATAGTTTCTTGAAATTCTTATTTAAAATAATCTTACCAAAAATTTTTTCATATAAATGTGTTTATTAACGAGGGATTTGACTGAACCAAAAAAACTATTGTTTTTGTTGGAATGAAGATTAAAATCAAAATAATATTTGACGGAAATATAAAAATGTTTAACGATGTTTAAAAGTTAGACGAATTCGAATAGCAAAGAAAAGACAAGGACAAAAATTTTATTTAATTTATTGAAATTTGGCTGATCATCAGTGGTCTTAGCAAATATTCGAATTTCTTTTTAATTAGTTTATAGTCCGTCACATTAGAAGCGTTGACGAATCGTGTATTTCGACATGTAGCCAAGGTTACACAAACTTTCAATGTTCAAACTTTCAATGTTTGATTCGAAATTCTAATATAAACATAATCAATATAAAAAATTTGGCAAAAAATCTAATGAAACGAATACACGTACTGTTAAATGTAGCGCACCACAATCAAATTGTTGTACACCGACTAAAGCACTATTAACAATGTGGGTTATCGTTCGTGCCAGAAGGTAAATAACTGTGCAGGTGAAACGTACTTACTTAAGCTTTGTGTGACACGGTTTAATTTATATAAAAAATTTTAATACCCACAGCGCTAAAAATAAAATATTAAAATTAATTATAATAAAAATTAAACAAATATTAATTATTATTGAATTATTTTATTAATATTCACTTGAAGAGGAAAATGTTGAAACGACAAGTTTTGCTGTGCGGACTATTTTTCCTTTTTGCGTACTCCATTTCGACTGGTAAAATATGAAACAAGCATTATTAAACAATTAAACTATTATTTTCATTGAAATAAATAAAATATTGAATATATCCAATAAATAATAGTTAAACGAATATATTTTAATTTGTTATTTTGTGTGTTCCTTGCAGAGGCAATCGAGTGCATTCAGTGTGATTCGACAACCAATGAAAATTGCACCAAAAACGTATCCGCAATCACAACCAAGACCACTTGTGCTGACAAGGAAGTGTGCTACGTATCCGTAAGTAAGTCTAAATTTAAAATTTTTAATTATTCTGATAAAATCGATATTCAAACTGTTCATTTGTCATAATTTACTAATTAAGCAAATAACTTAATCCCTGTCATGAACTGAATTTTTATGAGTTCTAAATTATTTGCTCGGATAATTATTTTTCGTTAAATTTGCTTCGCTCTTACAATTTGCATTTTGAATAATCTTTAAATAAATATATCGATATGAGTAATCCCATATAATAAAAGATTATATGTTATCATTGTGATAATTTTTATATGTTGATAACAAAAAAAAAAAAAAAAAAAATACAATAATAAGACTTTAAGTTATAAACATTTGTACACAGCTGAAAGTTATTATCAAATAAATTTTTACAAAAAATTTCGATTTTGATAAATTGTGAAATACGTATGGGAAAGTAGAAAACCTTCTGTTGGTATGTACTTAGTAACTCACTGCGTATTTCATCAAATAATTCATTTAATATTAATTAATAATAATTGAATCATTTTAAATTGCGAAAAAAAAAATAATTTAATTGCAATATTCAAACACAGTTGGCTTATTTACGATGAGGGAATACTGTGAAAGTACTAAAAGGATTATTTTTGTTATGACATATGGCGAAAGTGATAATAACATATTTGGAATGAGAGTGAAGTATGTATATAATAAAGTAGTATATACGAGGGGGCTAACAAAAATTTCTTAGATTGTTACAAACAAAAAACATAATAAAAATAATTTTTGACGGATTTGAATAGCAAAGAAAAGACAAGAACAAAAATTCATTTGATTTATTGAAATTTGGCTGACCATACAACGCTGTTTCGAGTATTGCCAAGAACTCATCGCTTCTAATTTGACAGGCACGAATTCCAAGAGTCCAAACAAATTATGTATGGACTATAAACTAATCAAAATTCGAATATTTCCTAACACCACTGATGCTGAGTACTTGTCAATACTCGAAAAAGCGTTGTATGGTCAACCAAATTTCAATAAATTAAATAAAAAAAAGAATTTGTTCTTGTCTTTTCTTTGGTATTCGAATACGTCTAACTTTTAAATAGTTTCTTTTCGTTATAAAACGCGTCACTCTCGGCAAAAAAAAACTAATATTAACAACTATTTTAATTGTTTAACTTTAAGCTTCGGCATTTTTCATTTTTAAATTCCACTAATTGTAATACATTTCTGATCCACTTTCTGTGAAGTAGATCCACTTTCTAAAACAGTCCGCGAAAGAGTAGTTTTTTAGGATTTTAGGAATACCTTAAGATACCGGCATTTATTATATCCGCATAATTGCCGAACATAAAAAAAAAAGAATTTGTTCTTGTCTTTTCTTTGGTATTCGAATCCGTCTAACTTTTAAATAGTTTCTTTTCGTTACAAACGCGTCACTCTCGGCAAAAAAAAACTAATATTAAAAACTATTTTAATTGTTTAACTTTAAGCTTCGGCATTTTTTATTTTTAAATTCCACTAATTGTAACACATTTGTGATCCACTTTCTGTGAAGTAGATTCAGTTTCTAAAACAGTCCGCGAAAGAGTAGTTTTTTAGGATTTTTGGAATACCTTAAGATACCGGCATTTATTATTTCCGCATAATTCCCGAACACCTTTCCCCATGGTTTTTTTTTATACTCGGTTCCTAAGAGTATAAATTAATTATTCACTTTTTCAGCATTGTGAGTTGACACTTTATAGCGCTGTTGAAAGGCTCAACACCATTTCTATTCTCCCGGTTTCCTAACAAATTCTCAAAAACTTGTGGTGAGCAGGTTTCAGTATCGAATTTAACAGTTACTGTCTATACAAACTTCAGAAGAATAACAAAACTTTTCCTTTGACAAAGCATATTGATATCATTTGTTTTTACTGCTGATTTCTTTTACCTGTCTTTAGAGTCTTGTGTGGTGCACAACACCGATTGCTAGCAACGACGTTTACATCGAATATCGGGGATTTCAAGCAATCTTCCTTCACAGAAAAATTTTCGGTGTGGAATCTCCAAAATCATTCGAAATCAGTCAAAACTGTTGGTCTATTGTGTTCTTATGCTATTTAGCTCTTATCAAATATTTCCATAGGCTTAAAGTTGTACCGAAATCCGTTAAAAATCACAAATCCAATTTCTTGATACGATGACGGTTAAAGTACCAACAAAAATTTAAGAATTGCCTTGTAAGAAACTTAAACAAATAAATCCATCCAGTTGAATTTAATTAATTTAACAGAGCTTTCATCATTACCAATGAACAGTCCGACAAACTGTCAAAAAATTACTTACCTAAAAACCTATTTGCAAATCAAAACTCAGAAGTTACTGAGAAATACTTGATTGTTTCTTTTTCTTGTTAGTTTCAAAGGAATGCGTTCTTTCTTTACATTCATTCATTTACACCAGTAACCAAAGAGGGCTGCAGTAAGCCTTGCATTATTAATCAGATCCTTTTTGTAAATTTACAAGATTAGTTTTGGAGATTCATGGAATCATGGGTCTTGTTATATAAAAATCTAATTGACTAGAAAGTAAGACATCATTTAAGTACCTTTCATATATTATTAGCTAACAGGAAAAATAGGTCAAAAGAAGTATTTCTCTTAAAGATCTCTAAAGGAACATAGAACGATATCCTTACAAACACATACTGTGAAACTCCAAGCTCGAACGCACTGTTTGTGTTTTTTTTCTACAGAATATTCCTATATTCGAGAACGCAGATGAGAGAGATATAGATAGAGCTTGCCAATTTCCACTCTGCAGACTTTATAATTAATAATAATATTTAAAATATTCTTAATCATTTAATACTTTTCAAATTTTAATATTTAAAAATTACTTTCAATAACAAACAAAAAACAATGCGAATACATGATATCAAATAGCGCAGATAACACTCTGAATATAACATCAATCAGTAGCTTTCGAAATTAATCAGCATACAACACCGTTCATATTAAATATGGGTACATATAATTTTTAGAATTTAGCAACCTTTAAACGATACGTGTCGATATTTCATGTCATTTTCGCCAGTAGCCATTGAGATACAGCCATTTGAGTGACGTTACTTTTGGTATTAACGAAAATGTGGAAAAAAAAATAATTTCATATACTGATTAAACATTATTTTTTTATAGAAATAATGTGTAAAGTCAACAAGAGCTTCTAAAATATTGTAACGACTCTGATCCATTTAAATGAATTATTTATCGGTGGTTTATTGAATTCAAAAGTTGCTATGCAGACAACGTCCAGACGTCCACATTCGATAATTAATCAAGAAAATATTAAATATATGCCAGTTAGTTTCCGGCTAATACAAGAGGTATGTTGAAAAGATGAGCAGTATGTATGCTAACAATGGACGAAACCCAACAACCTTTGATACCTTTAATAATTCAGAGGGTTATTTGAAGTTTTGTAAACACTATAAATATAATTGTTTGTACCGATATTTAACAAAAGATGAAAAAGCTTATCTCAGACAACTAAAAATGCTCATTTTAACTAGTGAAGCTATAGCCTTCGTATTCTGTTATGCGCCCATATCTTAGTCCATATTCATAGACTATCTTAAGGAAGATATAAGCATCATCAATGAATATTTTGTATTTTTTTCCTTATAATGCTTAGTGCATGAATTATTGTTGAGTCCTAAAAATAACATAATATTATTGTTTTTGTATACATATATATATTATATAATATATATTATATAATATAATTATATACATACACACATCTTATATAATGTAATATATATGTATAATTTAAAAATTTTGTTAAACAATATTATTATTATTATTATTATTAATTAGCTTGCGAGAGTGCTTGCTTGAATGGATAGTTTTTTTATTGAGAATTGTGTTTTTTATTTCGGTTGGGTTCTTATATAGAACTAAATTTATTTAATTTTTTGTAACACAGAACGATATTTTTATTTTCCGATATTCTGATTAAATGAAAATAAACTTGATCATTCTGTCAGTTGAAGTAGATTTCTATACTACTTGAGATCAGTAAATTGCATTTTACACTGGAAGAGTTCATCCTATGTAAGATCGTTGGGTTCGTGCACTTTTTTGACTTTTGTTAGAGTGTCTTCAGTCAATTTTAAAATTCTGTTGATGACAATATTTGATTTTAAAAGTTGATCTATGGTATTCTCTATAGAGATTGTTCATCTAGCAAAATTTGGTTTTAAAAGTTGATCTATGCTACTCTCTATAGAGGTTATAGAGGTTAAATTTCAAAAACCTTGAAAGTTGTCATTATACAGAAAGTAATTATTGTTATTAAAACGGAAATTTAAAGTTGTAAGAATTTTCTTAAGTTTATTTTCATAATTACATTGATTACTAAGTATATTGATTAGTTAGTAAACAGTGTAATGACAACTGGTAATGTTAAAAATTCATCTTAAATAAATTTGTTATTATTATTAAATTATATATATTAATATTTTATGATATATCATTTTCATCTAACTGTTTAAATTTGTATGATTTTTAAAAAGGATTTGTAATTTTTCTTTATGTATTAATTTTATCATTTTAGGTGACAATAAAGTTACTCGGGGCTGTACACCAGCCTGTGAAAATAACAATTGTACAGCTTGTGCAACTGCTCTATGTAATGCCCACAATGTTTGCAAAACCTGCAACTCAACTAAAGATGCAAGTTGTGCACAAACTGATGCATCGGCGATCGCAAGCACCGTCTGCTCTACTGCAAACACCAAATGTTTGACGCAAATTGGCAACAAATATGAGACAATACGTATGTGTGCTCCAGACAATGTAGTCGAAAATAATTGCAATAACGCTACATGCAAATTATGCACTGGCGGCAATTGTAACGTTGGTATTTTCCCAACTAATCGTATTCATTGCTATCAGTGCACAGATAGTGTTTGCCTGGATGTTTCCACTAGCGAAGCTACATCAACACCGTGTCCTTTGTACAGTGTCAATGATAAGTGTTATATGACAGCAGCAGACGAAACACATATCACACGTGGATGTATGTCCGATCCAACTGCTGCTGCTGCTTGTAGTGATGACAAATGTTACCAATGTAGTGTTGACAATTGCAACTCCAATGGCTACAAGCGTAAGCAATCAATTAAATGTGTACAGTGCAACAACAATTCCACATGCACTTGGGCACAAAATCCAAATGATGCAACAGACTGTAAGGATATTGTGTATAATCAAAAAGATGCATGTTATACACAAAAAGACAGTAATACAACAGTCATTCGAGGATGTTTTAATGAGAGAACTGCAGATCAAGGAGAATGCAATAATGACAGTTGCACAACATGTACTGATGCGAACGGCTGCAACTCAAAGTACAAAAATGATTTTACCTGCATTAGATGTCGCAGTGATTTATCTCAAGATTGCCGAGACATCAAGGCTGACAAAATCGCAAACTTAAGTCAAACATGCACAAATGACGTATCAGAAGCTAGTGCTACATGTTTCCAGGGACTTTGGAGTAAGTACATGTAATAATTAATTATAAGGTTTTTCGAAAACAAATTTAGTCTTTTTTATGAAAGTAAATGACATAAGATCTTAAGATAATAATAAGATAACCCATTTTAAAAAAAACACTATAAGACATTAAAAGATTTTCTCAGAGTACATAAATATTTTATTGAATTATATATCGTCCATTTTGGTCCAATACCTTTTGTTATCTTACTAGTAATAGCATGATTCTACGCTCAAAAAAATTTATTTACAAGCAATCCTTGCTATATCAGCTGTCATAATATATGATCATTTTACGACTGAAGTGTTAAATAGGCTGTAAAAATATACAATTAAACTCTCTATTGGGAAAAACGAGTTTACTTTCTAAACAACACAAGATCTATAACATTAATAATATTAAAGAGTAACAACGTGAATACATACGAGTGTACAGAATAACTAATTACTGCTAAATTTTCAAAAGCCCTAAAAACTTCGCTCAATAATCGAAGTTAATATATATCTACTATATATACCAGTTTTACAGGGCAATAAAAAGCAGTATAATTTAAAGTTCAAATGATTTGATCTTTATTATAATTAAGTTTATTAAAATAATTTTATGTATAATATATATATCAAATTTGAACTACTACACTGATATGGAAGTCAATTCCACAATTCCAGTCATATTTTAAAGATAAAAGCACAAGTAAAATAAGGTAAAAAATATAAAATGCTTTTACTACTCTAGAACTTTCCCAAATAAAATAAATCATAAGTTAGTTAACCTGCTTGACCATTAATAAAACATTGACCTATTGGTTCCTTGGAATATCAAATGGAACTTAACCATATATAGATGCACAGTAAGCATTTTGTAGTATGGCAACGCTTTTGCGAATCAATCTAATAGATCAATCTAATCAATCTAATAGGTATCTAATAGATATGCAGCCATTTACTGTTGAGTAACTTTTTTATAGTTTCTCTACTATTAAGAACATTAAAAAAACAAGAAGTCATAAGTAGTAGGAGCAAATAATTGGAGACAGTAATTAAAAAAAATATCTCCAATTTTGCAAACATAAATTTTGTAAAATTTGCAAAGAATTTTTTGACAATATAAGATAATTAAATATACAGTCAAACTTTCATAACACGAAGTAACATTTTACAAAGAAAAGGTTTGGCTTATGGACACTTCGAGTTAAAGAATTTTTTTTGTAATTGTATGTAATTTGCTCTCTAAACCCTAGTTCACACTCTACTAAGTTCGAGTTATAGAAGTTCGAGTTATAGAAAATTCGAGTTATAGAAGTTCGAGTTATAGAAGTTTGACTGTATATATAGTAGTGTTTATAGTAAATGAATTAATAAAATAAAAGTTGACTGCAGTATATCGTCATGACTTTACCAATTATTAATGCTGTATTTAATATAATTTAATAAAATGTATTATATGCTCGATTAAAATACTTTGACTTAAATTTATCTATTTCAGATACTGTTTTAATACGTGGCTGTCTTGTCGATACTGACAAACAAACTCGAGCAAAATGTTTGGATAAAGATGATGGGCAGTGCACTACTTGTGATGGAAAAAATTGTAATATCAAATCTATAAATGGTGCCTCAACTATATCTTTGACAACTGGTCTTTTGGCTGTTATTTTCTTAAGCTTAAGGCATTTACATTAAATATTTAGATAACACATAAAAGAATTTAAATTTATTAAGAAATAATAATATTTTTGTGAACCATCTTAAAACATAATATTATATATTTAATATATAACACGTTTTGCTTCTACAGATAAATATTCAAAAATAAATATTTTATTGCTACAAATTATTTATTAAAATACAATTTATTTAATTTTTATAAATCTTTAAATAAATATAAATTTTACTTAAATAAATATTTTAATCAATATATAAGATTTTAGTAATTATTATGAAAAACAGAATTGACGCAGACCATGTGGTAACCCTAATAGCTCCATTTGTAGGTGCCGCTTTGCCATTGCATCTATCTTCATAGCAGAGTGAACAGAGTTTCGTGTTCGTTTTACAATAATTTTTGCCATCTTCGGTAAGTTCAGAAATGCAACCACGGGTTGTTGTATTAGTATCGACTGTAATGAAAGAAAATCTTGACATTTCATCAATCGTTAAATGATATTGATATAGATTGATATAGATATCTCATATGCATCATTTTCTGATTAATCATTATTGGCATTGTATAAACTTAGATTTATTTGTGTTTGCTGAGCTCAAGGTTTAAAGCCGTTTCTCGCTTCGACATCTGAATCTCTGACAATAACGGGTTATAGTTCAAAATTTAATATTTTAAAGGATTAATAAAACATAGTTTACTTTAGTTAAAAGACACGAAATGCGTCTTTTCAGTAAATTTGTTAGAAATACATAGATAACTATTTTAACTTGACATATCCTTTCCAAATATCCCCATTCTTCCCTTTAAAAAGGAGGAATTTTTCAAATATTTCTAAAAATCGTCGTATGAAAAAAAAACCGTTTTAAGAATTTTTCGAAATATCTCTATTTTTATCTGGAACGAAAATGAATTCGTTGAGAATGCTTAGTAATCTTCGTAGCAAGATTACTAAAGATATAAAATTCGTATATCTGAAATTGAAAAAAAATGGTTATTAACCCTTTTAAACCTTAATTTTAACTGTAACCCATTATAAGCACAGACCAAAATATCTAGAAAAAAAACGGTTAATAATTTTTTCCAATGTACATCGAATAATCATCAAATAATTTCAATGAATTAATATTTATTGCTTTTATATGAAACTCGGATTAATTTGTTTAAATATTCATCGAATATTCCATCAAGTAATTTCATTTCTTAATTTAATTTCATTGCTTTGATGAAGCGTCTACTGTGCAAGTTAGATTCACCATGCCAAGCTTTCCAAATAAATACTATGGATTGTATTCTTTAGTCACTGGATATCGACTACCCATTTGTAAAATTAGGATAAAGTTACGTTACGTTACTCTTTTAATGACCAATATTTACATAGCATATTATAAAAACAATTTTCAAGCAACTTTCCGAAAACTGATAGAAACCCTATTGATTAGTGACATTCTAATTGATTTGTTTCAGTCTTTTTTAGTTCAAATTCATTTTTAATAATAGCTTTTTTCACTTAATTGGAAAATATCCTATTGAGTTATAAAAAAGGAATTTAAAGCTGTAGATATCTTTGTCAGAAAGCCAGTCATGTATCTGAAGTAATGTTACTTAAAGCTGGAGATCATTTTCATTAAGGTTTCAAGTAGGTTTTCGCACGAAAATTTTCAATCATCAAGTGTTTTCGCGCAGACACGTACACTACTACACAAGTCTATTTAACGACACACACATGTGGTTAGTCTTATTTCGATAAAAATATGGCATTATTAAGTTACTGAAGGTTATAAAAAATCTGATTTCTTCACAAAATTATAAATTAAATAATTATGAAAAACCAACACACATGATCAAGGAATATTATTGCCAACTAACTACTCATATTATTAATATAGACTGAGTAAGATTGAATTGGCTTGGATGAGACACCATGCGTACTCCAGACCTAAAGACCTACCTTAAAGTTAGAAGTGTCAAACTTTTGGTGTGTGAACGGCGTTTTTTTGAGATAGTGATTATTAATAAAGTTATTATAGTTTAATAGTTATTGTAATGTGTATATAGTTTGATATATATAGTTTGATATATTTAGTATCATTGATCAACTTTATTATATCAAAGTAATACATACCCTTAAACAGAGTATAGCAACCATTTTTAGTACCATCGTTGAGTTGACAATTCAGTTCTCTGATTGGTTTTTTAATGCAATTGCTATCATCCGAACTGCTACAAGCATAACATTTTCGTATACCTAAAGAAATATTAACAGGTGGTGGTTTATTCATGGCAATATCACCACCAGTTGGCACTGGAACTTCAATAGGTAAAGGTTTGGGTGTGGTGTTATCTGCCGCCACAACTACTGCAGTTTCTGTTGATGGCTTTGTAGTTGTTGTAATTTCTGCCGTTTCAACATTTGGTACTTCTTCAGCGGTACTCGACTCAGTAGTTGTATGATTACTAGCTTCACTCGGTTTCACTTCAACTTCAGTATTAGTAACTGTTGAACTTGTAATAGGATAAGTTGGTGAAGCTGTAGTCATCGCTTCTACATGTTGTTTGTCAGTTGCAGCCCCTTCCTGCTCCTCTTCTACTACTTGTGCTTCATTGGCATGCTCTTGGTGGGTAAATGTCGGTAATATAGTTATAAATTCAAACTCACTATGTTCCTTGTCTTGCGAAATGTCAGTCATATCGATTGTAGGTTCTGCAGATACAGAAATTATTTCAAAATTTGAATCTTTCTTACTGCTATCCGCTACCACAATCTTATCTAATTTTGTTACATTATTTATTGGCAGAAAAGTTATCGGTAATAAAGTTTGTTCCGTAGTTTGTTTTATTACTGAGGTTAGTTTTAGATCACCAGTATCATTAGTAATTATTAGATTCTCTCGACTTTCTGCACTGTTACTACCTGAGAATACACTATTCGTCTTATTATCAAATAAGCATACGTAATCTAGTTGATTGCCTTCCATTAAATTTTTCTCTAGGAGGAAAGAAACGATTTTCGATTTCTTATAATACAACACGTTTTTATAAAGTACATAATAATGTATATATGTTTGTAAATGCACTTAATAAATATAATTTACCTATTCCAAATTTGCACATATTACTTCCAAAATTTTGGCAAAAAATTGTTGAATTTTCCATAAATTCGAAATCCGGTGCGCAGAGTGGAAATTCCTTGATGTAGCATTCTTCACAAATACTTGAATAATCTAAAATTTGAAACCAAGAAAAAAAAAATTGTATATAAAACTAATAGAGGATGTTTTAATTAAAAGTGCTTTAACTTCAGGAAGTGATTTCTAGTTCAACAAATTAAAAAATAGTATAAATAGGTTAGTTTAACAAATTACTAAAGCATTAAATTATCTTCAACGGTCCTATGCTCTACTAGGGAAACGGACACTAAAAAGAAGAAGAAAATTATCTTCTAAGAGAAAACAACATTTTTACATTTATTAACATCTTATTATATCACAAAAAAAAATAGTATATATATATATATTTATATATATAAATAAGTCTCCAACAAACCGTTCAATTTCGATTAAATGAGAGACATATAATAGCTTATAGGACAAAAAATAAATATATATTTATGTATACATATATATATTTATATTTATATATATATCTTTATATATATATATATATATATTTATATTTATATATATATCTTTATATATATATATATATATATATATATATATATATTATATATGTATATATTATTTAGAGTACTTCTTACAGAAGAACTATGTTTATCATACATGTACTGTTCTCTAGTTACTTCTTATTACTCTTGTGAAGGAATTTCTTTTTTAAACTTTTGTTTAAGAGATATAAAATTAAATTCTTGGTAATCATAACAAGCAGAAGATGAACTAGGGCTTTACTCTTGACTCTAAAACCGACATTCACAATCGTTGGAAATACCTAAGTCTCTGAACAAACCGTTCAATTCCAATTGAATGAAAGATCTATGTCTTTAGGCTCGATTATATCAAAATCATAACTGTTATTACCTTCATCACTTACAAACTGTGAAGACATTTCATATGCTTTATCAAAAATGCTACCTGGTGGAATAGGTATTGGTATAGTATATGCACGGTCACAATAGATCTCTTAGTTCGCAGTGTACTATCCTTTTTTTCATAATACATAATTCAGATCCATGTGGAATGAGGCGGATCACTAATTTAATGTCAGGATAAGATATCTCTTTCTTATTTTTTATGGTAACATCTCGCACGTCCCTTGAAATTCTTTGAAACACTTAAGTCACTGAACATATCATTCAATTCAGATTTAGTGAAAGAAGGCTTGGCTTCTTTTTGCGAAGATCGTGTCTATTGTTACCTTCGGTACGTTCACGCTGTGGAGACTTTATTTTATTAAAAATGTTATCTGGTAGTGTAGTGGTATCGGTATAAAAAGTCAATGTGATATGAAGCGGATTGATGCAGTTATGTTAGGATAAAATGTCTTCTTCTTATTTTTTAAGGCAAAGTCTCGCACATTGCATGAACAAAATTAATAATGCCACATGTAGTATCTCGGTTCCCTTCACACCATGGGAATAGCAAATCGAATCTCTTTTATTTAATCAATTCCACTGCTTTAATTCCTTAACAAAAACTTAGTAAGTGTCTAAAAAGGTTCCAAATTAAAGCAGTCACTCAACTTTCGTATGAATCTTTAAATGTGTTATTTATATGAAATTATTAACATAAAATGTCATATATAATTGCTGCTATTAACTATTAAAAAAAAAAGTCACTTAATAATATCAATGACTATTGCTACTACTTCTTAACATGCAAAGGATTTACAAAAAAAAAAAAACTTAAAAACTTGACCGCAGTTTTTGACACAATTTCATATTCCTTAAAGGTTGTCGAAAGGTCATGAACTTCATAATAATATCGAAATGTGCTATAATTAAAAGATATTTTTGACACGTGAAATAGAAATTTCTTTATTAAAATTGTAAAATTTGTGTTAACAGCAACCTAATATTAAATAAATTTATATAATTAAATCCTTAATACATATGAGTGGA